CCCCAAAACCCCAAAACCCCAAAACCCCAAAACCCCAAAACCCCAAAACCCCAATAATATATGAAATTATAATTTTTAAAGAATTTTAAGCTGAACTTCAATGGACGACAGGAAGCCCTTCCAAAACCTGCATGCACAAAAAGATGGCATAAACTCACAAATTCCTTACTTGGAGGTATCCATATGAAAACAGGATGGTCAACTGGACATTTTAGAGAAATAAAAACAAAAATTTTCCGAATTATGGAGCTCGTAGCAATAGTGTCGGTAAGGGCTTTTCGCTCATTTTTATAGCCAAAAAGTCCTCTGGACAACCAAATGGCAAAAATACCACTGCAGCTAAGCCAAGTGGGAGCAATACAAATCCAGCATCTTCAAGAAATATGAATTCTAGGTCAAAGCCTCAAATTTTGATCGATAAAAATAAAAAGTTCGGAAAATAAGCAACGATTCAAGCCTTTGGAAAAATTAGAAAGAAAGCACCTCCAAGAAGATGATCCTGTGGAGTCCTTAGATATGAGTATCAACTTTGGGCCAGTAACATTCGATGAAGCTGTCAGAGATCCAGATGAGGCATTTTCTTCCGATGAAAAATCTGGCGGTCATTTCAAAGAAGCTATCAACGCTCATAAGCAAAGTGATGGTGAAGTTGATTCAAGTGATGACCAGATTCAGAATTTACCAATAACGCATAAAATGACTCCGAAGAAGAATCTTTCTAAGTCAAATTTAAAGAAAAGAAGAAGAACACCAGATTTAAGCAAAAATTGTTCATGTAAATCCCAAAGAAACAACGATGTTACTCCTCCAGTAGAAAGGCTACAAAAGAAATATTCTTTAGGCATACCTGGCCATTATAGACACAATCAGGATGAAATCCCTGGAGAGAGGGAAGATGCCTGAATCTTTGATAAGAAAATTCAAAAGAATTACTATCAAGCACCAGTGAAGATCGTTAAATTAAACAGTCCTGATAGTACAAGGAAATCACGTGGAGAGAAGTCTACATCTTCAAGACGGAAACTCTCGAGGAAGAAGGTGTCTACATCTCCAAAAATCAGGATCCCTAGGCATGCAAAAGACTTTAACAAGGAAGTCAAACTATGTTATGACAATAGTCTTCAAAATTTTGATGCTAATTACGATAAAAATTATGAACCCGAGAATGAATCTGACGATGAAGCTCATGAACAAGACCAGACTCTCAATAAAAAGTAAATTGTGGCTAATATAGCTTAGAATCTGCACTCCTCAAAATATTGATAACAAGCGTGATGATGAGAACTTCGGCATCAGTGATAATATTTATTTCAAAACTTTCGAAAATGATCAACCTGAAAGAATTCAGAAAATCGTTGATGAAAAGAAGGAAATAAAACCAATTCTGAAACATAAGAACCAGAAGAATTTCAAACGGATGAGATCGCCGGCTATTAATATAGAAAGACTCGATGATCAGCAAGTAGCCCAACAGGAAGATAGACAAACTAAGAAGCTTCTCAGGAGGCGGTCTACCAAAGGAGAGATTCCTCATGATAAAGAAACTGAGTTAAAATAAACAAGAATACTTGAAACTCAAGAAAGGTAGTATCTCAGAATCACTTTTATAGTCCTCAACCAGAAAATGATGGAGCTTAGGAGAGTCAACCAGACCAATAAGAAAAGGAACAAAAGCAGAAAGAATATGGAAAGGAGCAATGTTTATAATAACAATCCGCCCCCTAAGGAACAGAATAGCAAGTTTGTCAGATTCAATATGGAAGAAGCTCACAGAAAAGCAGGCAAAACGCCTAAAAACCGGAAAGGAGTGGCTTTTAATTTCGAAGCATCAAGTTCTGATGATGGGAAGCCGATTATACAGAAAGAGTACTCAGCCCAGTACCAGAGTCAATACAAGGATAAAGAAGATGACCAAATTGGAGTTCAATATAACAAAAGCAGGCATAGTAACTCATTATTAATCTGCAAGATCAACAAAGTTGAGAATTTGAAGATAGTCCATACAACTGAAGACAGCCAATTTAAGAGAAGGAAGTTCTCCACTAAATCAAAAGCTGACAACCAAGACTCTTCACATTTTGCTGAGAATGAGCGAATGCAGTACCCTCAATCAGTTGGAAGGAATGATGGGGCGAAGACTCATAGGCAAAGGAATAATATTGATAAAGCAACTAGTTTCGTGCAAGGGAACAAGAATAGGTTAACTAGAAACCCAAATACCCCTAAAGAAGTTGAGTCTAAAACGTATCATAATCATATGCATCACAATAGTAGTCATGTGGGTGACGATGGAAGAAATGGGAGCAAATTTCCTTATGATTCCAAGCTCCTGGAGGTTTCTAAGAAGAGGAACAGAAAAGACTTCAAAAGTGGAGATGCTAAGGCAAATAACTTCAAATTTATGAATCTAAACTGGCTTAATCAAAATAAAAATGACCAGCTTCCTTCTTTTTATGCTAATCAGATGGTCGCTGGGGGCCTTGATAATACAAGCTCTATTTACCAGAATTTAGAATTGAGCAATATTAATTATGCAAACCAGAATGAAATTAGTGGGTTGGTAAATCAGAATGATTTGAGCAGTTTGATCAGCCAAAACCAACTAGGGCAAATGCAGCTAAATAATAATCAAAGTTTGCTCGTATACGATAAGCAAACTAATTCTATTATTCCTTTAAATCCTGGAGTTAAAGGACAGGGAAATAATATTTTGATCAACAACCCACCCTTTGCAGGTTCTGGCCTACAAAATAATATAGAAATTGAGAAGACACCTTCAAGGAGCGGTCTTGAGACTACCAGGACAGAAGTAAGGAATGATAGAGGTGGTAACATTCCTTTCTATTTCCAAGATGCTAAGCTCCAGCTTGATTTTTCGAATAACGTAACTCCTGATACAAAGAGATGTTCTGACTTACTCATCGGAAAGGATATATCAAATATACAGCTAGATCTTGATGACAGTCAGATAAACCCAATTAATAAAATCTCTTCTAATTTTGCTTCGAACAGTAAGGAAAATGATAAGCTGGATTCTTCAGTGCAGATTACTACAAAGAGCTCTTTGGTGCAGGTAAATAGTAAGGATTCTCTCAACCTTCGCCAAGAAACTGGGATTAGGAACATAGAAATCTCTAGGCTCAAGGCAAGTGATTATGATCTCAACAATCGTGAATCACAGTCTATCAACGGTGATTATTTAATCTCTAAGAGACAATTTAAATTGCCAAGAGACACAATCATTGAGGAAAGCGATCATGGAGACTCTATCCAGCCTACTAAGACCAGCACTGACTCTAAACTTGTTGATGAAGATTCTAAAATTTCTCACAAAGAAAGTGTAATCTGGGTCGGAGATGACACTATACAGGATAATGCAACTCTTCTCAAAAAGAAGAAAATTATGGAGAAAAGACTAAACAATCGGAATCGACAGAGAAGTGCAAAGTCTAGAGGTAAAAGTGAGAACATTCCTGATCAGGATGCTTCAGAGGTATGAAATGATGATGAAAATATTAAAAAGAAAAATTAGAATTAAACAGCAAAGTGCTCCTCCTTTGATTAAGTATAATTTTTTAGGATTTGTCCCAAGTCTTTAGTATTTATACTTTAGGGATTCAAATTATAACTTATCATAGAATACAATAAGGCATTTAGAGACTACTTATAATAAATTCCCGGAATCCATGCTTAAGAACAACAAATTTAGCACGATTGAACAATCAGACTCAGGTAATTTTGATATCAAAAGAAAAGAGAATAAGTTAGTTCAGAAGAAAAGTCCTATCTTTGTAGACCTAATGAGCTCACACGACGTAAATCATGAATCTACAGACTCTCATCGTGTTCTAAACTCAGGGGATAATCCTATTTCCTCAATTTCGTCCAAAGGAGGGTTGATGAATTTTAATGCTTTCCAGTCAGACTCATCACGGCCAAAGCTTGAAGAGCCCATGATCATTGGGGCTCAGGATACCAACGCCAGCTTGGCAGAGATGTTCAAGTCCAAGAACAAGGGAATAGCAAACAAGCTAAGCCAGAGGCAGAACTGTAAGAGCAAGAATCGTGCTCAGAAAAAGCCAAAGACCAAGGAAGAACTCGCAGATATTCGAAAATAACATGATGAAGAAGCGGCATAGATCTACTTCTCCCAGTGATGTTCTGGGAGACATCAAACAATCCACCCTGAAAGATACCTCTATTGGCGGAGAAGCATGGGGTCTCAAGGGTAAAGGCAACAAGAGCAAGCCTAGACAGAAGTGAAGGGAGCCTCCTCCAGAACTCCTCGAAAGACTTGCTGGCAAAAAGAAGAAAAAGGTAACTTCTTACCCTAAATTTTAGATCACAGAGAAAGAATTCCGGCAACATGCTTCCAAAAATTACGAGAAATTACCCGAAGTCAGGAAGAGGAAGGAAGAACAGAAGAAGAAAGATGAGATAAAAGCCAGGCTCAACAGAGCCAAAGAGTTTGATAAGAAGCGTAGCGAAAGATACGGGCACAAGCAAAAGAATTAATCATAATTGAGCAACTAACAAATTGGCAGGAATTACGACTATAAGCGGGAGCATGCTTCACATCAGAAGCATTCATTTAATAAAAATTTAACTCATTTTAGAAATTTAAAAAAGGGGTTTTGGGGTTTTGGGGTTTTGGGGTTTTGGGG